CACTCCAAGTTGTATTTCAGATTAGCAATGTAAAGTATGTACAAAATAACACTTCACTTGGATACACTTGAGCATGCTCAGAAATCTGTTTACTTACGTACCCATGGCTGCAAATTCAGCCTGGGACAAATCATGCTCCAATTTGTTTTTATAAATACCACATCTAGTATTGCCAGAAGCTGTGAAACACAGAGAATTCTGGTGCCATTACTAGCTAACTACTAGTGGAAATACGGCATCCTATTAGCCCTCAGATACTCATTTCACAGCAAATCCAGTATCTAGGAACTGAAGAGCGAGCTCTGAATATATCTGTATCATTTGGCATCCTGTGCTCTGCAAGCAACAACTATGGACAAGCCTGTTAGATTTAGGGTATTTCTTTTTTTCTTACCAAATATCAGTTTTAAAGGATGTCATGTGATTAAATGTGATTTGTAAGCTGCAGAAAGAATTGAGCTCCTTTGCAAAGAACACTAATAATAATTTACACTACGTAAGGTTTCCTGCATCAAACAGCCATTTTCACAAGTGATCAGAGTTTGGCCATATGATAACAAAGCCACCATGAAAACTTGGGACCTTCAGTTCAGACTAAAATATTTAACAGGATGCATAATTACCAGCTCCTGTCTGAGGAAGTAAGAGCTTTATGTCAGACACTGCTATCACGTACACTGCGTGGTCAGCCACAAAATTATCCTCAGTGTTTAGATTTCCAACTCTGGGAAAATATGTCTTAGTATGGAAGCTGGAAGACATGATGTGAAGACTTCTCTATCTGCAAGACTTGGAATTGTGACAGTAAGAAACCTGAGTTTGAATTACTTATTTCCCCCCTTTACTTCACTCAAAGATCACAGTGCACATACAAGTAAAACCATTAACATCTGCTTAAATAGCAACCCAGTGAATAAATTTATTCCTTAGGAGACTTTTTTCTGGGGTTGTTTGGGGTTTTCTTGGTTTTTTTCTTGGTTTTTTCCCTTTTTTTTTTTAAATATAAACAGGAAGACTGAAGGTTCAAATAAAGGCAACAAAAAAAAAATCTCCTTATTTTAGGCTTGGAATGTTGGCAGCTGCCACAAGGTCATAAGGGATAATATAATCCATTTTATTCAAGCTTTACATTCCAGAAGACCAGCAATCACAACTACAGTATTAAACTGCAGTATTAAGCAACAAGATTCCTCATATCCTCTTGTTTTTTATTCTTGCATTTAAAAGAGAAATTATGCCAGAAGAGCTGCATTCTGAAGAAGGTATGAACATTTGCCACAAGAATTTTTTTTTCTTCATTCACTCTGATCCCACCTAATATATCATAGATGATATCAAGGGAATCTATATTCAGTACCAGTAACCAGTTTGTCTAAAATTTTGTTTGGTTCTTTGAAAAAACTGCTGTAAATTCAGCAGCCTACATACCCCAAAACACCCTAACTTTGGTTGATATATAGTCAAATTAATTTTCTCAGCAGCTTTTGCTAACAGAAACAAAGCCAGATGATCCAAAAATAAGGCATTGAAGATAAGCATTTACAGGTCTTAAAAACAGCTGGAAATGTAACATATGCATAGATTTTTTTCCAGTTTACCCAGAACATCACTCAATTTTTTCTGTAAGTACTGTAAAAGCAAGTCCAAAGTGCAAAATTAACAATAATCATTGTGAAAATCTTACATGAGAGGAGTAAACAAGTCAGAAAAGTCATACCTGATGCATCCAGATGTTAAGCATCTTAATCATCACCAGGCTTCATCCTCATTTGGGCTTGCATCTGTGCAATCATCTCCTGCATGCGGCGCAGCTGTAAGATAAAACCACCCACGTGTTTAAAACAATTTCATAAGGAATCCAAAATGCATGAAACTTTAAATCTTTTTCTTCCATGGTAGAATGCAGATTCAATTTGCCTCTGAATTGGAAATTTTAGATTAATTCACCTGATTGAATACGTTCTTTTACCCATCTCAGATTTTTTTAATGCATTGCATCTAACTTTCACAAAAGATTTCTAAAAATACTTATAATGGAAATTAAGCAATAAAATACAAATCTTCTGAAGCTTGCAGACCCGTGAATTAACATTTAATCTACAATAAGAAAACACACCCTTTATGTGTGTACAGAAATACATTGCTTGAGAGAGCCGAGGCAGCTTTGTCCTGATACAAGTGCTCAAAGCATAATACTCATCTTGTGGCTAACCAGATAGATACTGTTGCTAATAATTTGCAGAGTTAGCAGCTGAACATGCAGACAGAATTTAAAAACTACTTCAAAAGCAAAGATGTTTACAGCATTTGGAAAGACAGACTAAACATATTAAGCACCAATATTTTTTACATCTAAACAATGACCTTTGTGGAAATGACTGTTTTCTTAAAGGCATTTTCTTATGACATTTATAAGTTGATTTCCATCTCATAAAAGGCCAGTTATAGAAAATGCTTTTTTCCCCCCTCTTTAAAAATTAACATTTATTTTATGTTCCTAAGAAAAAAATAAGGAACACTAATACAGAATTTCAAAACGTATATGCAAATACTTCTAATTTGCTTTACAAATGACTAGGTATTTCCTTCCAGATGCAGGTGGATCTGGAAGGAAATCTGGAAGGATCTGGAAGCTCCACATACAAAATAAGTGCCCTATCTTGCAAAGTGAAAAGAAATAGGCTGCAACTTCCATGCACATTGCATAAAATACGAGTCCATCGCAAACTGGAGATCATGTACAAATCTCAGGCTTGTATAGCAAGTTTTCATTATTCTAAGAATAATTGTGTAGGTTTTAATATATTGAGCTTTCTTCTCCTTTAGGAAAAAGTAATTAAGAGAATTGCTCTCATTTATTTTCTGGGGAAAAAAACAAACCAACAAAACCTCTTCAACTCAAAAAGCGCTGCTACGTTTAAACAAGTATATTGTATTTTCACCCAGTCAACCACATTAGCTATTGTGATTCAATACAAAAGAATCTGTGATAAATGCTTGACTACGTGTATGTGGTGTTGAGTTGTCTGGGCTTTTTTTAAAAAAAAAAAAGCTGAAAGAAACATCACAGAACAGGGAAAAATTAACTGTAAATGCCTATATTACTTTTTCTTGCCTGGCCTCAGATACAGATTTGGGAAAGGGAAGAAACTGAAGTGCAGAGCTTGCAGCATAGCCAGAGATGATAAAGCTTGCCTAAAACTAGCTGGCATATATATACTGGTACCTGTCCTCTTGCTGCAGCACCACAGGGCTCAGCAGAGGCCAATTCAGGTTCCTGTGATTGCAGCGTAGATATGCTCTGACAAAAGGAGATTCACGCAGGAACAGCATGAGATACACCTAAGTCTGTAATGATTATTATATACCCATCTACACCTTCATGCTGAACACTTAAAAAGCTTCTGATGAAAAAGATGGCATAATGCTGCAGGAAGGAGAGGAAAAAAAAAAAGCAGAAAGTGTCAGAAATGAGAGTTCCATTGATTCCACGGTCAAAGAAAAAAGTTCCAAAGATCAACTTGTAAAAATGTAAGACACCTGGTCTTTTGAACTGCCTCTCTGCAGATTTACCATCAGAATAAAACTAGCTTTTTGGAAGCTTGCCTACTTGAGCATTCCCAAGAGCACTCCAAGCTGAGCCATGAAACATTCCCAAAATAGAAACCATTCAGTAATCACAGGGGAAGATACTGCTGCACGTGTATTATGGTGATTGCTCAAATGTAGCATTCTGCAAATAGCCAACATCATATTTTAAGACTTAAATACAGCATCGAGTCTCATATTTTCTTAACCTTAATTGATAAAAACATGCCCACACCATGAAAGAAATCAGATGCTGCATATGACTCAAACGTAAGGTAGGACAAAAGCACTAGGAGACCTACTCTGCTCTGACATTAAGATTGTAAGAAGATTTTCCTTTTCCATTTTGATGTGGTATTTTGAGATCTGCTGGTGGAGGGTTAGTCTCATCCATTAGCTAAATAATGACAAGTTTCTAAAGTTATTTTAGCATAATTCAGCAGAAAAACTTTCAGGCACAAAGCCTGTTAAAAAAACTAGGCACGCTGCTGTCTCCTATGGCTATTAGTAGGTATGTTGTCATTGAAGCTTCCTTTTCATAAGGAAAGTTCACAAACAAAGTAAAGAAAACAAAAATAAAAAGGTACTCAAGCACACCTATCTCTTCCACTGCATCCTGGGCTGCATCAGCATTTTATTTTGTTTTTGTTGAACATTTGATATGCAAACAATCCATAATGGTTGCTTTCTGCTGTAAAACTGTGGCTTCTCAGGAGCTCTAAGCAAACTCACAGCTATCAGTTTCGTAACCATATTCTTAGCAGACAATCCATGAGTAATACATATCACACACTAACTGCAGGGCTAAAGTTAGAAGTAATAACTGAACTTAGGGAGAATGCACACAAATATCTTGGAGAGCAAATAATCTGAACAGTAAGAATCCTGCCAGCTCAAGTATAAAGCTAAAATTAAAACTAAAAAAAGAAGAATCAAACTGTATTGTACTCAAAGCGATAACCATGCCAGCCTCTTCCACAATTCAAGTAGAGGATGGGACATAAGAACCATTCCCACACATTACAATACAAGCTAAAAACAACTTGTGTGTCTTCACCTTACTAGACCTACAGCATAGACAGAAATAATCATTTCTCTTAATAAAGGTGAATATAAAAGATCACACAAAAGACTGAAACTGATGCCATATCAACATCCACGTTCCCTTCACTGTTGGGGATTGCAAGCATCAAGGGCATACCATGACTTTGATCTAGCTCAGCAGTAAACCCTCTCACTTGTAAGAGCAGCATTAATATATTCTGCAGGAACTGTCATTCAAGGATACTACAACATGATAGCATTGGGTCGATGCCCATGATGAAAAGGAAGCTAGGAAACAATGTTTGGAAATCTGTTAAGACTAACAATTCCAGTGAAGTCCCAGATAACAGAAATCAAATGACTAAATTTAACCTTGGTATAAATGCTACTTAGTTTACTTATGTCAAGACTAAAATTTACTTCAAACTGTCATGTAACTACTGAGTAGTGACTACACATAACTACTGTAGCAACGCAGAAAGCAAACAAACATTTAAAACAAGAGTTAAGGTTACAGAGTTAAAAGTGAACCATACAGCTTCCTGATGGCTTCCACACCATTAACAGAAATCACAGATACACAGCGTTGCTTTACCTACAAGATTTCACCTGTAGTATGGTTTGCCCAGAATACCAACGAGTACTTCTGTCTGAACAGGATGAGCAGCTTTTCAGTGACAACCCTACAGATGTCACAGGAAAAGCAATGTTCAAAACTGAACAATATCTACTTCCCACTGGCACACTTCCCCTCCTCACACCAAGTACGGTTATTTCTGCCCATGCCTTTACTAAGAAAGTTCATAAGGGAAGAGGCTGCAAGAATAGGGCAAGATGAAAAACTGTAGACAGTGGATTTTCCATTACACCAGGACGTTCCCAGGACAGCGGCTATTGGTTAAAAATACTTCCAATACCACAGAGTACAACCAGTCTTGTTAACTGGAGAAAAATACTCTTGACAAAGTTACTATATTGGAAAAGGGGCTACCATAGACATAAATGTCTTTCATAGGACACACTGATGTTATAAATACCAGAAGTCACTATGGCCACAGCCTTCACACTACATGGGCAGCAAGCACTGTTCCTTCAAAGAACAACTCAGAAGGACAAAAAAAAAAATTACTCAAAAAAAAAGTTATTCTTCACTCCAGCTTCCAAGGGATTCCCATTCCTAATTGCCTATTACAGGTTTTCTTCTCATGATGTTCTCCCAGGACTGAGACTACATCACAGAGGAAGGCTGAAGCAATCTGCACAAAGCATGCCTCCTTCCCCTGCACTAGGCAACAGCATTCCACAACACAAACCTTAGAACTGTTCTTATTTCCCTCAGGTCTGCAGACCTTCATCAGCAGTCATGCTGTCTCTCCACATAAAAGTTTTCACCTTATCTTTCAACAAAACACTTACACTAATACCTGCAATACCAGGCAGCCACCCACACATGTAAGCGTTCGTCACATCCTTGCCTACCTGCAGAACTGCTGCTAGACCCCGGTTTGGCAGCCCATCGCTGCAGGCTGCACCCCCACTGACTACCACGCTAAACCAGGGTTCTTCATCTCATCTGATAAAAGGTTAAACTCATTCAGAAAGTTGAAAGACAAAGAAAAAACAATTTCAAGATTGCAATTAATTCTACCATATTCAGCCTACTGGTGACCAACCCCACTGAAGAGAGCAAAGGGATTTACCCAAAGCCTCAGGGTAGCTCACTGGAAAAATCAGAGGAAGTTTGTTCCTTGCCATTTCATGTAAATCATGGCCTTAACATTTTTGTAGAAGTATTGCCTCTCAAAACTTTGAAAGGCTTTTATTATGAGATTTTTTCAGAGTAGGAAGAGTATGGCACAACACTACAAACTTTTAAGTTTGTGCCCACAACATCAAAATAATCTGAACTGCAGCATATTTACAGTAAGGAGCATGGATAGCTTTTTTCTTATTTTCACTTCCCAGCTCAGAAAAACAGGTCATCACTTGTAAATGAGCAAAGAGCACAACCAGACTGAGCAATAAATCCAAAATGATAGATTAGCAATTCCAAATTGCTAACTGGGGACCACATCCTTTGGCATAATAAAAGATCATTTAGCAAAAGTGATGCCTTGATAAAGATGATCCTGGCATTAGCCCAAGCATTCATTCCTTCCAAGGTTATATAAACCTCGCAAAACTGTAAATAGAACTCCAAGCACCGTTACTGATGGGAATGCAAAACAGGAGGGGAAATGGGTATTTGTTTTCTCTGCAAAGGCCATGGAATGCAAGCCCATTTCCTCTGTGCCTCTTTCCTCCCAAGATTTTTCCCAGTCTGAACCTTAGGTATGATATGAGATGAAGGGATTTCATAACGGCTTATCTACAGAAGATTCAGCAAAGCCTCTTGATCTCTTTGGGACAATAGAACGCAGAAGTTAAAAATCTATTTGTTTTTTCAAGTTCTAACCTAATCTTCTGCAACTTCAGCAGCAGCTATTCAGAGATGATTACTCCCAGAGGAAGCTTCCAGAAACTGTCCTCCAAGAAATTCAGTATTTCATCCCTTACCCATACTATATATATAAAAAAATTACATATGTATTTATATATAAAATACTACATATACATTCACAGAAGAGTGATCAGAATAGACCAATATATAACAACGTGCCTGTTATATCAACAATTTCTAGGGGAAACGGTTACAGTAGGATTTTTTCAGACTTAGGTAGTTCTACAAGGATAACCCAGTTTCTACTTAACTACCAGACATGTACAATTTATACAGTTCAAAAACAGGAGAAACAGTTATGACTTAAATTCTCTAAGTCTACTGCCTGAATCTTGGAAGCATTAAAGAAAAAAAAAAAAAACACCACAAAACATTTCCAAACAACACTCCTGACATTTTCAAAGCATGTAGTATTCCTGGCTATCAACTGATGGTCTACTGTTGTTCTGCACACACATCAGTAAATGGGAAGCAGTTGATCTGTGTACAGAATTCTTGCAGAAGTTCCATTCGCATAAGTGCATGGCCATCAAGTGTGCTTATGTTGCTGAAATGAAGCTATACAGTGACAAACACGCAGCTCATTTAATCTCCAATAAACTGGAGATTAAATCATATTATTAACTAGTAGTTATGGTGATAATCAGTTTTCCTTTTAGGAAAATTTTTTGCTATTTATGTCAATATGCCAGGGTTAGCCAACAGCTAACCAGGGTTAGTTATTTTTAAATATGGATGCTATAAAGGAAAAAGGAAATGCACAGACTGAAGTAACTGTATTACAAAAATTTCCATGTACGGGAGTCTGAATCTTTCACCTCGAACACATAAAACTGCTTGAAGTTTTTTATGTCTTATTCCAAATCACTGCATATATGCATTGATCTTTTAAATCATGCCTTCCTCCATTTATGGACTTGGATTCAGCTGAATTGGATAATAGAAGGATCAACAGAAAAAACACCATCTTCCAATTGGCAGCAAGTCTTAAGTTTTCACAATGCAAGCAGTCATAAGCATTGGCAGCGTACTACTTGAATTTAAATACTAGGCTAAAAATCTCTGAATCTTTAGAACTTTAGCATAAAAATGTTAAGTCGAAAAGCCCAGTAATAACCAAATCATGGTAAGAAATGACAGATCAAAAACATCACATCCATAAGTTGACTGGTACAACAGAAATACTATGAATTTTGCAGCAAGTCAAGATTACGATGCAAAAACATGCACATTAATTATATTATGGGATTTTTAAGACTCAACAACCTTTTTCTACTTCATAGCCGCAAGACGTAAGAAGAAATTTACAGGTGACATGCTTGTAGTAAGCCATGCACATCTGAAATGATGTTAGACTACCCCAACATACTAAGTTTAAAGCAGCATATGTAGTTGACAAACATATATTGATTTCAATACCTAAAAAATAGCAACTATCCTTATGGAAAATTAGCATACAACCTGGAAGTGATAAATATCCTGCCTACAACCAGGAGTCCACATCCCACCTACCATCCACAGTATGCAAGTGGCTATCAAAAAAATACTTCGTACAGGCAACTTGTATGTTCAGATTAGGTCTGTCATTTTTCACAACTCAAATCTTACACTCCATAGGCAGTAGTTGATGTAGAATACTGAAATTGGAACATAACGTGCTATATTAAAGAACAATAGTTTTAGAAGCTCCCTCTTACCTCAGCCTCTTTCTGCTGGAGGATTCTATCCTTGTCTACCACTTCTTCTTCAACAGGCCTATTAAACAAAAGAATGCATTGATGGTATAAGACACAGAAGTAAAAATCTCCAAGAACAGATTCAAAGCTCATATTTCAGCTAATATAACACAGAAAAAAGTCTGCAGTCTGCACAGGGGAAATTGGGACTTTCTTAAACCCATGCTTCCCTTCTGTAAAATGCCATTTTTACCTCATAGACTCCTGCTATTCACACTCTGTTTCTTAAAATTAGATTTTGTGGTATAAAAATCAACCATTAAAGCAGCTATGTAGGCTATTTCCTTCCTTCTTTAAGATCAAAATGCTTTGCTGAATACTTAAAGAACAAGTAAAGTGGAGACAAGAATAAGCTGCTATCAAAAAAGATGCAGCACAGGTAGATGCAGATTTTTTGCATTAATTTGCCAAGGACAGAAATTTTACCCAGAAAAGAAAGAAAAGAAAAAAAAAAAAGAGAGATGCAGCACAAAAACTCACATTACCAAAAAAAAATTGTTCGGTCTACATTTCTCTCTCTAGCTCTATATGAAGGAGCAAGAGAACAGCCACCATGGCAGTCCTGCAATAACTGGAGAAGGAACATCCTGCCTAATCAGATAGGCTGGGACCTATTTAAAAACATGCCCACTATAGTTTATTTTTTCCAACTAGACATCATTAAATAAAAACCTATGTTGCTTGCAGCCGACTAGTTGCAATGTGCATAAAGTAATAAAAGCACAGAGAAAAGGGAATGGATACAAAACCAAGAACAGCTGTTTGTATGCATGGCACTTCACTACATATTACTCTTCTTCAGGAAGAGCATTTCACACAAATTTCAGTAACTCCATAGATTGAAATCTCCTGAGAAACAATTAGTTACAGGTGGGATTAGTTAGGAGGAAGAGAAGTCCAATGTCACAGTGGAAAAACAAGAGATTCATGGGCAGCAGAGCCCAAAGGCACACATGTACTTACTTGCCAGTTCGTTTCAGCCTCTCCGAACGGAAGTTCTCATAGTGTAAATCTTGGGTTACCTCCTGCAGGTCCTGCATGTGTGTTCTAGAACAAGCAAATGGCTACTGAACACTTTGTCCTTCTTGTCAAATGGATGGAAAACACCCTTTTATCTTCTATTTTTGTTTTATATAAAGGATGTATTTACTGGAAGAATAATCCTTACAGACCAAGCCTGCCATAAAGCTAGCCAGAACATCACTTTCATGTTTATTGGTCTTTAATTCATACTTAAGTGCCCTCCCACCAATATTCTTCAAAGACCCAAAGTATGCTGTCCTCCTCTTGTTCGCTATTTACTTTATAGGAGTTGTTTATACCAGTCTTTGCAGTGGTATAAAGAACCTTGCAAAGGCAGTTATTCAGAAAGATACTTTAATTCCTAAAGTATTTTTTTTACTCAAGCAGTATTAAGTATAATTTGTAACTGAGAACTAGGTGGAGCTCCTTGGCTCACATAACAGCTGACATTGCCTAACAATTTTCAATCATCAAAAAAAAAGGAAAAATGCTTGCTGCCAATGACCAGCAGAGGGCAATCCCTGCCCAGGAGAGACCAAAATTGGAAATACACAACTGAATTTAATTTCCAACAATAGCAAGATGTCATTAAAAAAAATAAATCACTTAAAACCATCTACACAAGCAGAATATCAGCTGAATTCATAAAGGGGCGGGGTATTGTATATAACATAGGATTTCCTATACTGCCAAGAAAACTGAGCTCTGCCATTAGAATACTCTTCACACTTTAATTAATCACTGAGTAATATTTTAAAAGCCTCTCTGCCCCACCCACTGCCCTATAAGAAAACTTCAGTTTATACATAAAGCCATCAACTCAGTTCACATAAGGCATAAAAACCATCATATATATCTGACAATGTAAAATATAGAATATATTTTCTGAAGTCAGATCAGAGAATTAACAGCAGCAAAACCTGCTTGGGGAAGTGGACACAATGAAAAGTCACTCTACACTGCCATCAGAGCTAGTTTTGAATTAAGGAATTCACGTTCTTGCAAGTCTTTAGTCATAGTATCAGTTACGTCACGACAGGAGATGGGATAATTTTACCATTACTCACACCAGCATTGTGCGCAGCTTAAGGAAATCATTGTGCTCTGGATTTTCAACTTCGACAACTCCCCAGGGATACAGACGGCCTCTGATTTTTTTCCCTTTCACCTCAATAAGTTGATTGGATCCAATAACAGCAAAGGGAATGCTAGCCTAGTTGAGACAGAGAAAGCAAGTTACTGTTTTGATTTTTGACTCTTTACTTTTCTGTGTTTTGTTTTTCTTTGAAAGAAAGCACAAAGACTTTTAAGTAACAGACAGGAGAGGGGGAAAAGAAATGCTGACAAATGCACTCTACTAAAATCTTTCCACATCAGAAACCCAACAAATCCTATCCTAGTCAATGCAGCCTTTTATTATTAACACCTGTAGTTTTGTTAAGATCAGTTTGTCTTAACAGAGGCACAAAAGGAAATGACGCATTGCTTTAGGAACACTTGACTGTTGTTGAAGTACAGTTTGGGCATAATGTGTCATCTGACATAAGATCATACATGGAAAACAGCCAACAGAAACATACTTCAGATACAGATTAAAGTAGCTAGAGAGAGAATTTCAGATACATTCTTCAGGCACCTTTGCAAGTACCACAGCACAAATTTGACAGGAAATTACTTCAGTAAAACCTTTATTATCTGCTCTAACAAGAGGAAAGCTGTTAATTAGTATAGTAACGATAACACACATTCTCTCTTTGCTTGCATGTTAAAAGGTTGAGTCAGAAAACAGACTGCAAATTACAGTTCTTAGTGAAGAGTTGCTTACATTTAAAAGAGAAAAGAAAAGAAAGTCACAACACACTGCATTTGGAATTGTGATGAAGCAGAGACTGGGGAAAAAAAAGGATTATAATTCAGAGTCAACATCCAAAGAAAACTTTAATTTTCAACACATTATAAAGGAATAAAGTACCTTTAAACATACTGTAGGCTTGAAGAACTACTGCAGCAAAATAATAAATCAGGAGTGAAACTTGCCTTTAAAACTCTGGTTTGTTCTTTAAACTCCTCATCTTCATCAGAATCTGCATCAGGGAGCTGATAAATCCTAATGCCATGTTCAGAAATCTCATCCAGAACCTGAAGTTTACAAAAAAAAGGAAGAATAATAAATTCTTATTTCACTGAGGAGGTATTAGGTTAAAAATATATATAATTGATAGTCTGTTGCATCTAGAAAACTCAGAGTGTTTTGCTGCTTTAAGTACTTTGACAATGCTTAAAAAAATTATTAGCAGAAATTGCCATTACTTATGCTTTGAGTTTACGTACTACCAAATTAGTTTATGTCCTACAAGACTATCTTACATGGCATTAATTTCATTCTACCTATAAAAAAAAAATCTCCACCATTTTACTTCTTCATTCAACAGACTGGAAACAACAGTTCAAGGTGTAAAAGCACTCAGCAAACAACCTACCTGTTTTGAGATGTAAGAAAGAAATATTAAGTGGGAAATCAATTGCATCCTTAAAATGAAGAAAGGAAACCTATACTAGACCTGGTTGGATTTTAAAGATTTTAGTTTACTATTGCAAAAAAAGTACCTTAAAAATAATGCTGAGATTTGCTAACTACAGAAGTTCTCTTTTTAACAGCTTAGTAACAGGCATTTTAAAACGCCAAAACATTTGCCAAGATTACCTCTTGATTAAGCTGTTTGTAATCTATTGGTGATACACTTTGCAAAATCAGATACAGCTAAACACAAATAGCAGCTCACCTGTCTGTCCACTCAGGGACAAACAAGCTCACTAACTAAATGCATTTTGTGACATTCCTAATGTATGTTTCTTTGCATATGACCTTAACTAGCTTATTTTTGTACAGTGATACAGAGATAAAGATTTAAAATAAACATATCAAGATGCTATGAAGATCTTCAGACAACGATCTGTAGCTGTACTTGGGGAACAAACATCAGAATTAGAACACTATTTGCTATGAAAGTTAGTTGCATAACTAATAAAATATTTGTAATACAATGTGCTCTTGCAGGGCACTTTTTGAAGACTAACAAATATGCACTTGACTCAACATCCAAAGTGCCAAATAACATAGGCTTAAAGATTTTTTAAAAAGCACGAAAGATAAATGCATTTTTAGAAAACATAGCAAGTATATCATTAAAAAACCCAGAAGATTTACATGGAGCACAATACAGAAGCAGACAAAACCAAAGTGAAGTTCATATGAAAAAATAAGTAAAAGCAATGAATTTGTAGAAGGGATTCATTAGTTACAGCATCAAAACCACGCAGCTCACGTCAAAGTATATTTTTGTGTATTTAATATGTACAAAAAAATAAGACAGTGCCTATTGTCTCTTGAATCAAAAAGATAAAAGCTTATTATCCATTTAAACTGGTGCAAGTTATTCAAAATCCACTAAGAGAAAAGCCATCCATAACCAGTTTTCTTTACGGTCACTTATGTCTCAGATTAACATGTATTGCTGTATACATTCTTTTCCTAATGAAATCACTGCAGGGGGGTAAGCAGCTAGCATAATTCCAGGCCTCTGGCCTGGTGGTACAAGTCCATCCTCTCTTCAAAACTGAAGAGAATGCTTCTATTGCCATACTATTAAAAATATTTAAGTCAGAAATCCCATCAAATGCACTGACAAGATTTTCTTTCACTAAAGAAAGTGTGGTGGTATGAGGAGACCATGAAGAATGCTGAGATTACAGAGTAACTCCTCCAAGGGATCTTGGATGTCTCTGCAGAAAAAGGTTAACCATGCAAACTTCCCAGATTATTATCCCCTAACGAATAGCAACTGTAACTCCACTACCAGCACCTGAACCAAGCAGTAGCACTACGGCCATAGCGAACTCTTACAGTAGACAAAGTTTGGGAAAAAACACGTGGAAGGTTTTGAGGTAATCATAAAAACACTCAGAAAGCCTACGTAAGGACTTGTGCTGTCATTACTACATATATAACTGGACATTAACTTGATAATACAAACACAATCAAACTTCAAATGGACATAGTGGTCCTAATGAGCCTTCTCAGAGGATCAAGGAACCAAACAATACTATGTCGTGATGGCAACCAACAGCTACAGTATAAATAAGACTTGTCCAACCTGAGCTTGATTATTAAACAGCTGTTTAAAATAAAACAATCCTTCACACCATTAGAAGTGGAATGACCAAGTATAAGCCACAGTTATTCCCATGACAATATTTTCCTGCCAGGTATATAAACATCCCCCGCATTCACACACACGCGCACACACTGAATAAAATATGAGCCCCCACCAACGCAGACCGCAATATTTTTAAAAGAAAAAAAAGACATTTGGAAAAAGCGTTGCAATGAAAAGTTATATTTACACAATCACATTTAATTCAATGCATGTTGTTATTGTTTTGCAAAATGGAAGATAACTAAATTGTCACCAAATGACAATAAAAGATGCACAGCTGGGATAGGTGGAGCAGTGCTGCACTGCGATGCCTTTAAGTAGCTGCATAAAACAAGAAAGGACATTTAACCTGGCTGAGATCTTAAAGATAAAATGCAAGTGAAACAATAACGGGAAAGCCAACAACAAGGGGTGCTAGAATAATATATTACAGCTGTTAAACCTAGTGCTTTCCTGAAAGGAAAAAGAATTGCAATAAAAACAAACTGTATTTTATGGTCCTAACAATGAAACAGCATTTTGCTTCTTCAAATCTGAATTTTATTGGCCTCAGAGGATTCTGTGTTCCTAAAGATTAGCCTTCCCATGGGAAATTTAAAAAAAAAGTTAAAATATTAGTTCCCCTCTCATGAAGTCATTCTTTTAAGCAGGTTTCCTTAGCAGCCTTGCATGGCACAGCTTGTGAAACTGCCTTGCATTTCTTCCCACTCAAGAGTTTTAAAAAATAACTTTGAATTCCAGAAAGACCAAACAGGAATTACTCCAAGCTGGGTTTCCTTTGCAAGCACCACAAACTGATCTTGCTGCTTAGTCCAAAGCAGCAAAACAAAAACATTTTACTTTAGATTGATGGCCAAATGGCAGAAACATCTAAAAAAAACTAAGACTTCAAGCTGCGTCAGCAAAGCAGGATTTTGATTCTTATTCTTGATTAGAGATTCTGTTAGCCAAGATGCTTTGAGTTAGAACAATATACAGTAGCTAGATTTTCAAAGCTTTGGAACCACATTATACATTTGACTTAGTATAAACTCAGTTTGTAGAGTGACCTTTGCCAACAGTACAAAAATAATGAAGATTTGTTTACCTGTTTCCTAACCACTCCCTCAGGCTACAGAATAAGTGCCATTCATCTCATTATATTTAGCCAATGCATACATGTGGTGTCCATCTATGTAAGCCAAGACTGTTTTAAAGACTAGCTAGTTAAAAGTAATTTTGCTCATACTAGAAAGAACTAGACACAGATCAGCACCAAATATGACCAAGACAGGTTGCCTTTAAATTGATCTGTTCATCACAGGATATGTAACCTGCGCTTCACCTCCAGCCTCCACAATAAACATACATCATAAACCCTCAATCTAACATCACTTACAGCATTGTACTGAAAATAAGCAATTCAAAATTCACATTGGGAAACACGTTTGCTTGTGCTACTGCCACATTTCAGCTAAAATCCAGTGTTAACAATACACAGAAGCAAACGTCAAACAGCACGTGCACTGTGCTATGCTTGACGCTAAGAGAGGCCACCAAGCAGCAGATAAAAGGAATGCAGAAGAAAGAGTTCCAACATGATTACAGCAAGTATTAAAACCTGGTAAGAGTATGTTCCTCGTCATTTCACCTAAGAACTGCTTTTCTGAAAGATGACTGTAGCTAAAACCTATTTTCTATCGGTTTATGTATTTGAACTGACAAAGCAGAACATTCAGATTCCCAATGAATTATACAGTCAAATAATTAACGTTCGCTTAAACACCTGCTACAAATTTTTCAACATCATGCAGCAAATGCTGCATCAAAAAATAAGTACCTATGAAAACTGAGCCTGAAGTACATGGCTCAAAGATCAGATATAGTTTCTTTATAAAAAGTAGCAGCTCCACAAACAATATATATATTTTTAATATATATATTAGCCTATCTGCCCCGCCTCTGTATTAGTGTTTTAGTTTGTATCATGGGTTTTAGTTTGTATCCTGGATGCACTTATTAAGCAAGTTTCCAATTACCCCAACTAAACATTTTGCTACAAACCACACAGCAGTTAGAGTACGCAAACCAAGTTTCTTTTGGATGAAACTAAACCTAAAGATACACTCTCAGGACATACCTAATGCACTCCCATCACTAATAGGCAATCCACTGGACTAAATGAGAGCTGGTCTGAAACATCTACACTACATGTATTTCAGGATGATCTGAGCCCTCCTTACAAACCGTTTTCCTCAAAACCTGCTCTATTGGGATGCACTGCTTGCTAAGATAGATGAAGCCAAGAATGGCCAAATTCTCAGCAAGTGTAACCGGTAGAGCACATCAGACTTCAGCAAAGATTTCCCACCTCACACTTCCTGAAGATTAGGTCCTTGGCCAATATCATTCACCCCTCTTCAGTTTGAATTTACTTTATATTTGGCTTTAATATTTTACGGGTGGCATTGTTCTCAGGATCAAGTGTTAGACCTACTCTTCTCTTCAGCCTTTCTCTCTCCTTCAGCGTCAGTGTGTCAGCCTTGGCAATCACAGGAACAATGTTGACTTTTCCATGAAGAGCCTTCATGAATTCTACATCTAATGGTTTCAGCCTGCCAAAAGTGGGGGGGGAGGGGGAGAAGAGAGGAAAAAATGTGTGCGTTTTTATTTGGGTTGGTTTTTTAACAGACCAAATGTATTAATTTTTTTTTCAAGTATCTACATAAATAGCATCTCCAGAATAAATTGTCAGATCACTTGCTTATCAGCTTGGTTGCGTAAAAGCTGAATTGCGATTAAAGTTGTCACTATAAATCGGATATTATAAGCTCTTACGTTTCTGGGTGATAAACAACATAATACTGACTGTTTCAAAACAATATTAAATGCCAAAAAGAGGACAAAGCAGTGGAGAGCATTAATCCCCAAAGACCATTTTAATTGCACTGGCTAACCGACAATGTAGGAAGCAACTCAATTAACATTAAAGTTAAGTTTCCAGTTCAAGTAATGAACAGAGTTATGAACACAATATAACACCCTAAAATACAAGAGCTCAAGAGCTTTTTCTTACCCATGCCCAAAGGGAGAGATGAAGTAAAAACAGCAATGGACTCTGTTGTCTATAATGTGGCGCCTGTTTAGACCGCTCTCATCATGAAGGTATCTTTCAAACTGGTTGTCAATGTACTGGATAATTGTTTTGAAGCTGTGGTATGGGGGGGATAGAAAGAGAGGCATCTTAGATCAGCTTTAAAATAATAAAAAGAAAAGAATCGTGAAAAGATAAGAACAGAAGGAGGAGAATCACACTTTTATTAAGAACATTTATGTTACAAAACATTCAACTTCCTAGCATTGTATCTACTACTGAGGAAAAGTACTTTGATAATGCAAAAAGATATTTTCATGGCAACCACCAAGTGCCTATTTATGCCTGAAGCTACTTTCAAGTGTTGCTCTGTCCACTGGGTAAAAAGTTCAAGTGCAAGCTCAGAAAAAAGCACTCAGTGCTGAGACAACACAGACAGGAACAGAAGAATGAGGATTTTTCTTCTTATTTTCTGGCGGTAGAGGGTGAGGATTTGTTTTTAAACCAGCTGACAAATGACATATCCTGGATATCCTCTTGATTTACAACCCTAACCTTAAAGCTAGGTTTCTATAGTTACCTATGAAAATTTTGGTATTCTAGTCTGTTTGAATTAAGTACAAATACATTTGCAAGTCATGCACTAAAGCATCACATGATTTATTAAGCTATTTTTGTTACCTTACAGAATCCTTTTCTGTTGGCAAAGTAATTCCTACTTAGTTCAAGGCAATTTAAAATATGTGCTGCAAAGTAGTAAAGGAACACAAAATTTGATCATATAGATTAATCAGATACAATGAGCAGTGACCAGAGAGAGAAAAGAAAACACAATGTGTTACTAAGAAGATTGTTTTAAGAGTTTCCAGAGCATGTAGACACCTGCAAAAAACATTTATATAAAAGGACACTTTATATTAAGTACTGCAGGGGAAGGGAAATGAACACACTGATGAAGATAAGATTAGGCAGATGATTGTGTGTCATGAACATATCTTAAACTACTTGGGGAAAAACTGAGCAGAAAGCTTAACTTGAAAAATAGTATTTCTGTGGTTGAGAAAGTGCAAATTTGACTGGAGAAATTTAAGGAGGAAACAGACAAGAGAACACAAACAAAGAATTAGTAATCTGGAAAATGAACAGAGTGATGGCAAATACTGTGACAGCCAGTGAAGTTTAACCCTGGGCTGTGTGGCTGTAATGAAGATAATGAAAGAATGATGGAAGAGATCCTGGAGGGAATTTGACTTTCCAAAGTTGAGCAAGCTGTTGGATCAAGGAGGAATAAATTCATCGTGGAGCAGGTATACATACATTTATCTCTTTGGAAGATTTGCACTGTTCTAAGTCATACTACAGAAGATGACACAGCAAAATGTGGAATTTATCGGGTTTTGACCTTAGTGCTGCTTAGGTCTTTAAGAACTAGCATCTTAATACCTAAATGCATCAAAAAGGGACAACATGGTTTATGTTCCTGTTGATCTCGGATACTTTCTCCTCTTAGCTGGTGAAAGGTAACAAGACTGAAGACGTACAAATATTGAGACAGAAACCTAGCGCAAACAATGGGAAAGCAACTATCACACATTTCTCTGGCAATGTAATTAGTTTACGTGCAGCTTTCTAGCTCTAACCTTCCCTATAAATATGGTGTTAGTGTCCTGTACCTCCTGACTTCCGGGAAACACCTGGCTTATACCACTGCACTATCATTACTTAGGAGATAGCACATCCTGTATTGTAACAGCAAACAACACAACAGTTGCATTGAAGCCCACTGGGGGAAAATGAACAATATTACCAAGCTGCCAAAAAATACATAATACAACTTAACATAAGCCAGTAAAAAAAGAAAGTTAGCAGCAGCCAGAAAGCAGTTATCAAAGAATGACCTGTGACATTGCAACCGAGATGAGAAAAGGTGTACGATCAGCAATATCTAATAAATTAATCTGTGAACTGTTTCTGTCAATCATCCTTTTGAGATCAGATTTGATCCCAAATCTGTGCATGAACAAATTTTTTTCTTGCCCTCCTTAGATTCTTTCTCTTCTGTCTGATGAAAGATGTTAGGTTAAGGACATACTTCTCTCACGATCCCAATGTCCTTATGCATGGAAGAGACAATCTACACTTCAAACCTCCCACCATAAAGAATTTTGCTATTCTCCAAACACACACCCAAACTGATGCCAAGAGCATTCCTAGGTGTAGTTTAATTCTAGAATACAGAACTCCAGCTAGCACTTATGCCTCACACAGAATCTAAAAAATTATCACTACGGTTAACTGTGGTTAGCATCCACCTTTTTTTACAGGCTGCTTTAAGTATAACAGCATTTGGAAAACAAAAAATAATCTACTATAGAGAATGTGTTGTGCTAAATCTATAACAACTCGTTTCCCAATCCAACACTGTTATTCTTCCAATCCAGGAGACCCCCTGGACGAACTCCGGAAACACAAAATCCTTACTAGCACTTCTTCTGTGATGAAAAAATACATAAAAATTGACCCCAGCTCCTATCCTGGGAGTTTGAAAGTCAAACTCTAAAATTAAGCCCTCTCACCAATCCAATGACAGAAACCAAAAGCCATTAGGAAACCTACTCAGGAGAAAGATATTTGAAACAGGATCAATGATTGCTGCCTCCTAGGGACATTGTGCCAGTTTGATTTACCTCTGTTCAAAAATAACCATAGTAAAATTAATCACCCTGAAAAGCAGGTAATCTGCACGAATTCCAGCTTTCAAAAAAAACCAAAAAAACACCTTTCTAAAACTTGGATCAAGATCAGCACCATCTACCGGTTAACCACAATTGCAGTAAATGCTCCTGAACACAAGCATAAGTTCAAAAACACGAACCTGCTTCTTACTCTGAACTAACAAGGAAGGAAGGTAGTTGCACTGGGTTAGTCTTGACTGCAGTTTGAAACAAAGAGTCTATCCATCCAAGTCCCTATGACATCCTGTAAAGGCGAAGAGACTTTGTCAAAGTGACACTGATGGCTCAAAGTCTTTCCATGTGACATAAGTGGCACGAGAGAGACAATTTAAATTAACTGCAACTTTTTATTTTATAGTATGAAAGTACTATTTGTTCCCATAATGTATTTTGATGTTTAAGATCTGTCACAGAAAACCAAGTATAAACCAGTAAATTGTTCTACTGGGTCTGAATCATCATGGAATGACTCTATTTAGTAAGTCTCCAAAAAGAAAGGGGAAAAATCTGAACACGTAGGTCACTAAGAAACATCTTAGCAGAATAAACAAAGGGCATTAGAACACAATCAACAGGAAGAGCTCTATGTAACACAATACACAGGCTGCAGAGCTCTTAGCTCCAGCGGAAGGAAGCTCTAGTCAACAGTGCACAAAATAAGCAAGACCATGCTGGAATCCAGAAAGATGCCTTAGTGTTACTCTAAGAGTTCATTTTTTTCCAACTTAAGAAAGTAGGCAAAGTGGGAGGAAAATAAAAATCCCACTACAGCTTTACTTTCAAACTTCCATTTAGCATATTATATAACTTCACTGCCTTCGCTTTTGCTGTGTTTTTACAGTACATCACAGAAAGAAAAACTATGTCTGATAATCACGTTCTTCAAAATCCTCCAGGTAACACAGCATTCCGTCAAGAAACGATTACAAAACATTCTATTAGCATTACAGAGGTTTATTTTATCAGCTATTTGCTTCTTTCCTGATTTTTAACTTATACTGAAGAGCCCAAATCAACCAGTATGAGTTTTATGCTCCCTTTCTCTGCACAGTGACACTTTGTTTGCCTTAGGATTACTACCACCACCACAAAAAAAGTGTCAACAAAAATTAATGGCTAAGCAAAATAAATATTGTTAGCATTTCTTAAAAGACAACCTTGTGGAAATTCAAAGTTTAGCTTCTACTTGCAATGGAATAATTCAGGCATCCTCGTAAGTACATTAATATATCTCATCTTTATTTGAAAGACATTATCACAAGACCAGTTTTTTTAAAGAAAAGTGCATGATGATGATGATTTGGAAATGACATTTATGAACAAACTGTTACAGACTGCCCAATTCCTTCATAGCTATTTTACCATTTTCTTTCTTCATGATCTTTACATACGTAATTACATATGTTGTACAGTGTATCCGCAGACAATTATTTCAGTCATTAAAGATTATCAGCGATATTTACACAGGAGCCAAATAGTAAGTCCATGATTAAAAAAATGCAGTTCTAACCAAATTTCTAGTAGTACATATAAAGGACAAGGAATTTATAGTACTGTCTTAAAAACAAGTAAACTGGATGGGCCAGAGGCACAGAAAGTAAAAAGACAAACAAAAAATTTCCCTTTGCCAGAATCCTGCCCTATCAGAGCAGCTACAGAGACAGAAAGTTGACAGCAGTTGTCACAGAGAACCTTACTGGAGGAAAGTCCATTAATTTTGAGGAAGAATCATAGATAGCCTAGAGAACACCCAGAATGTAGAAGCACTTTGAAAATTAGGCTTAACTGCAAGGACTCAGAAAAGACCTTGAATTTAAGATAAGACTCCATTAATATTAAGAATAATGAACCTATTGCATCCTTTTAGTACATCAAAGTTATCCAAAGATCATCAGCTGAATCACTTAAGTTCAGAGAGACAAGCACACTACAGTAGTGTTTGCGTAAGATACAAACTCTATCAAGCAAAGCAGTATTTACACACGTACCAGTCCTGGCTGTTAATGGCATCTCCATATCCTGGTGTGTCAACTACTGTTAAACGCAGTTTCACCCCTCGCTCCTCTATCTCTACTGTAGAAGCTTCGATTTGAACTGTTCTCTCTATTTTCTCTAAAATAAAAGAATATTTTGATTGTTATTATGCCTATCAAGTTGCTGCAGAAACCCCTGCAGGAGAGAGCAGAGGAGGAAATGCAGTCTGAAGTGTATTGTAACCTATATGACATAAAATATTTTAAAGAAAAAAACACACTAGGTAGTCAAAATTTAACACCACATTTTTGTAAATAAACAAGAAGCAACGAACAAAAAAAGGGGGGATTTACTCATGAAAATATGCAAAAACAGAATTATAATACTCAGAAGCATGCAAAATTCTTGTCAAAAAGTATTTACAGCTCTAACCAGGATTGAAGGTATTACAGGCAAAAAACATTAGAGGAAATGGGAATTAAAGCAAAACCACATTTAGGTATATTGACACTTGTAGGGTTTTGGTTTGGTTTTTTTAAATAACAATTGATGAAGAAACAACAAAAGCTGAGTCTTTGAAAGGAAGTATAAATGAGAAAAATGACAGCTCAAAAAATTATAATTTGGAGGATTAAAATACATCTAGACAGTGTGAAGAAAGGGTCTCATGAGTGAAGTTATCAGCACGAAGCAATGTTAACTGAAAGAACATGAAATTTCATAGGGTACGGGTTGGAGGAACTGCAAAAACACATTTACCTGCAGCTCCAGGAATATAACGTTCTGGATAAAGATCAGTCAGGAACAGACTGTTAATTAAAGTGGATTTTCCCAAGCCAGACTCACCTACAAACAAAATAATTCAGGTTATTAAGCATATACACCTTTTATTCGAGACTTTTTAAAGCACCTCCTCTTTCCCCAAGCTCACATTACTGAGGAAGAATAATTTGTTCATCAGGATCCACTCTAGTTTTTGAGATAAAAACATCAAAGGTTCAGCTAAGCACTTCAAAAAACACAGGAAAAACAAGCCTCTGGTGCTTTTTTATAAATGTTACATGAAAATGCTAAGTTTAATAGATTTCATAATAAAAGCTGAAAGGTCATACAGCACTGACTACAGATCTAGAGATAGGTTACTTCAGGGAAATAAAACCTTCCCCCCCCCCCCCCCC